ATAAAAACTTTAATACAATTGCTTTTATAACGCCCTCATTTATAGCAGCCATCATGTATATGCTGGCGCGTTTTCAGGGGAGCAAAAACTGGAATCATAGGTCATTTACAAGGGATGGTACATGACACGCAGTTTTACAGTAAACGCTTTAACGAAGTATGACACCCATTTCATGCAGCGTCCTGCTGCTAAGATTACCAATATTAACGCACATTTGGGCATTTGACCACATCGTCTAACGAAAGGAGTGGAACAATGCTATTAAAAGGCCTTAAAACCGGGTTTTGTAGAAAATAAAAGACAATCAGGTCTTTTGTCAGTTATCAGTTAAATTTTAGGCGATTTGTCAGTTGTCAGTTAACCCCATCCAGACCTTCCTTATACCCTAGGAGAGTGGATGACATGGGCCGTATCCCAGAAACTTACTAGTTATAGGATATACGAAAACTTATCATGTTTAATCTGCACTTGGCTTTTTTTTTGTTTTAAATATATTTAGATTCTACTACATTAAAAGAGGAAGGGGAGAAGGCAGATAGAAAAACAATTTGATTGACAAGTGATTTTAACTGACTGTCTGTCAGAATGTCGTTGTGTTCAGACTTCGTTGGGATTTACTGTTTTAACTTCGTTTAGATGCTTGTTATTACACTTGTGATCAAATGTTGTTACACCTGTGATGTTTATTACATTTGTGACCAAATGTTATTACACTGGCGACCTTTATTACGAGTATCTTCCGATGACTCCAGAAGCCCATCGTCTAGAGTGAAAGGGGAGCTCAAGACCCTAAAGCACAACTGGGGAACCATTCAGAAACTGGCCCAGAACAGACAGGAGTGGCGATCCTTTGTTACTGCCCTACATGCCTGACGGCATTCATGGGAATGAGTGAGTAAGTGAGTGACCTTTATTACATTTGTGAATAGTTATTACACTTGTGCCTTCAACAGGGAGGCCTTAAAAGAGAAGGGGGGCTTATTAATTTTCCTCCCCTGAAAAGGAGGGGGGTGCTTATTTGAGAGGGGAGCTTGATAGAGGATTTACGATAAGTTTAGAAGTAAACACAGCAGAATTTCAGAGCTAAGGGAATTGCTGTGTTCACTTCTAAACTTAAGTCCTTTTGCTTGTGTGTACTTTTTCTTTTCTTTCACTTTTTGCATTCGCGGGTTTAGCGTTGTCTATTGCCATCCTATTTTTATCATTTTCTACGTGTATAGTCAAATTGACGCCATTGTTTTATTTGATAATTTAGTCGGCATATATTTTTAAAGGTGGTCCTTTTCAAAAGCCCTTATTGGTTTCCAAGGGCTTCCTTGTCTCTTCCATCTGAAAACTATCTACTATGTATTTAATTTAATAATGGCAAAATGATGATAAATTAATAAATAAACAATAAATAAGGTAGAAGTATTTTTACCATCGAGGTAACGTAAAGCGGTTGCAAAACTCCAAAGTTTGGGTTAAGTTTGGCGCTTGACGACAAAACCTCAAAACAAACATTTGAAATAAGCGGCGTTCCCAAAACCTCTAGATAAAAACAGAAAATAGAGGATGATTAGATTGTTTTGTATTCTTTAGAAGCTCCACACACTACAACGCGCTCTTTATTTGAATTAACCTTGAAATGATTACGCACGAACAAAACTACAACAAGCGAAAAATAATTCAAGAATTTGATCAGAGGGCAAAGAGACTCAAATGACGAACGGTTACCCATGGTTCTGACTATTTCTTTCTCTTTTCTTATTTTTAAGTACCAAGGCTCCTGACATCGATTCTTAAAATATCTACAGTCATGGACAAAAGTGTTTAGAAAAATGGGCGCTGCCATGACTAGTTTCAAGATAAAGCTCTTGAAAGTACTTTCAGCCAACTACATACCAAATCCGCGGGATAGGTATTCTGTGGGTAAGAGAGTCCAAAAGTTTTAACACTTTTTGTCCCAGATTGTAGCATAAGATAAACCTTGCTTAGGGTTTGATAACACAGGTGTCGCAGCCTAGTGAGGGCGGCTGTGGGGCTGACGGTATTGCGGTATTGAGCTTTACTTCAAGCGGTATTTCGGGTAATTGAAAATGGCTCTAGCTATTTATTTTTAATGGCTATGTACCCTTGCTGCAGAGTTGGTCGGGTCTTAAAATATCTAGCGAGAGATAAACCACCCTTAGGATTTGATAACATAGTGCCGCAGCCTAGCGACGTAGCCGCGAACCATCAGGTCAGTGAGGAATTTGGAAAACAAAAAACAAAAAAAACCCTCTTACTAGCAACCAGGATAAATTTTGTTTACTATAAGTTTATCGTTGCTTTCTCTATTTTGAAAATAAACATGTTGACGCCTACCACTTTTTGTGGACAAAAGGAATCCGTAAGTGGTTGGAAAATGAGTTGGTCCCCAGCTGTAAAGAGCATTATCTAAAGAGTAGAAGACATAAAGAATAACGGAAATGAAAAAACCCTGCTGTTTCAAGCGTCAACGAATTAAAGGGGCTGTGTCACTGCAGTCCAGTTCATTTTGTTTAATTTTGCCAATTACTCGCCCTCAATCGCTATGGAACTTAAAGTAAGCAAAGAAATTACAGGTAAATGACAAAATCAGAGATCCGAGACAAACAAATATGTCTCCTGAGCATTATTTTTGAAGTTTCAAGCAGCAGGGATCAGCGTTGAAAAACTGTTAGGCAAAACAGTTTTCAAAAACCCTAATTTCAATCCGTAACGGTTTCAATCTTCTTCAGTTTCGCCCATCCGTGGCTTAAGTTGTTTCTGTTACGTTATTTTAACCTTCCTTTAAAGTTTTAAGTGGTTATTTTTATTTTAACGCGCATTTTGTAATTTCCTAATTTGGCTGAATTTCGTGACACAGCTCCTTTAAGCACGAAGTATTAGATAAATGAAGCCACTGCTACGTACTCTTACCGACAGGACCGACACGTGGTCAACCGAACCACGCGAAGGACTAAAGCGACCGTTTCAGGGTAAAGGCGGTGCCTCCTAAGTTATGTTACACTTATCTGGATCCCGAGGTCTCCCGCTCTGCCGCCCATCAACGCTCCACCGACTCTCTGAGATAACCATAAATGGAGTTCAAGAGCAAACAACGCCACAGTTGGAATTTTGATTTCTCAGCACTGGCCTCGTGTTTTGGCCTGGCTGGCATACGTGTTTCTTTTGATTGTGTACATGTATTAAGGTAGGAAAATGCTTTCAAATATTTAAAATTATAATTTCAAGAAAGAAGTCTGCCATGAAGAGGAATTTAATTTCTATCAAGCGAGACAGTGAATATTTGACTGTTTGATGCCAACTAAAACGATTCCTAGTTAATTCGAGCCTTATATTTACCTTTTTAGAGTGCTGGCTTACGCAAAAAAGATCCGGTCAAACCAAAAAAATCTGTTTAAATTTCTAGCTTCCTGAAAAAGAAGCAGTGCGAGAACATTCTTCTTTGTTCAGCTGTCGAACTTTATTATTTCTAGATCCTTTTTGCCCGATCTTGTGCAATTATATCGTTGAAATGAACTTAAAGTTCCGGCGTTGTTACTTATTCCTTTAGCTCACCTTGGAGAAGTTTAAAACCACCATGTCATTACGCTGGCTAATTGGGCTTAAAATACGCACTCCCGTTTGAAACAAATCTTTAAGGTAACAAAAGAATTGTCGTTTATTGGTAAAGTTGTTAGCTTCCTTTTTCAGGTCTCCGATCAGTTCCATCAAGTTCGTTAAATTAGCTGAAGATAACTAAAAAATACAAAAAAAAATTAGGTTCGTCACAGAATGCTTCCAGGGCATTGTAATCTTTACCAGTGCTGTGGTTTCGCATAGTTATAAAGCTATCTAAAGGCAGATGTAGCCGAGACTCTATTGTGGCCTTTGTGTAGCTGTAGTGAGCTCGGCCTCCTCCCCTGAGTGTATGTGGGTGTTTTAATCAGGTCAATTATATCGTTTCAAATTGATTTAAATTTTGAATTAAGTATCTTTTTAAAGTAGCCTCTGTCAGTAGATGCTTAGTAATTGCTTCTCACAGGTCGTCTGTAGCAGGGTGTAATTTGGGCTTGGTACAAAGAAGAGGGTTTCTGGTCACTCTAGGGCGCAGTTGAGAATTTCTCTTTGACAGTTGACAAAATAAGTCTTTTCCCCTTTGGTGTTTTGAGAATTTTAAGAGTTAAGCTGACTTATGAAGAAGACGTTTTACCTTCGATCTGACTTGCCGGAGAATTGCTTGTCTCTCGCAGTCACAACTTTCCTTGTGTTCCCAGCTTGCGGGAATGCTGCTTTCTGTACAGCGGCTACTAAACTGACCTTGATATAACCGCAAAGAAATAAAGAGGAAGAGATAAAAAATAGGGCTACGGTTGCTAACACTAGTGTAGCGAGATCAGGAACAATTCAAGTTCAAGAAAAGGCCTAGGGAGACAATAGCTTTACCTTCAAGATTTGATTCCACATTTGAACAGTTTCTATAAACAACGGTTCCGACCGAAGTTCTGTTCCATTTTAGGTTAAACTTCGTTTGCGATGGGCAAAAATCTGTCAGGCAGAAGAGAAAAGGAGTTTCAGATCACTTCCACGCCATATATAGCTGCATTACCAGAAATCGGCGACATTTTGCGCCCGCGAAGTATTTGGCACGCGGTTTCAAATTATCAAGATGGCGGCATAAAGAAAGCAGCACGTAGAAAAAACAAGGACTGAAATGACACACTATCAAAGGATCTGAATCAATTTAATTTCTTTTTTGAGGTAGTCAATACAAGGGAGAATGAAAAAGGGGAAACTAGAGTACGGGCTCCTGTTCGAATGACGATTTTAGAGAGAAGAAACAACTTCGTTTCATGCGTGACTTGGTGGAGTAAAAATAATTTTCAAAAATCAGGGCCCACAGTACACTTAACCAGCGATATTCTGTATAATAATAATCATATATGAAGTACCTACCTGTAAAGATGGCGATCAAAACAAACTGGAGACAGAAACCCTACTTTTCACAAGGAATAATAAGCGCAGTGGTGCGTTTTGTACCGCTTTTATCGCAGAAATGGATGTATTTTTACCTCTTTTATCGCAAATTTTGCGGCCATTTGGGGAATGGATCAAGGCTGATTTTTATCACGTTTTAAAGTTTGAACATCGATCGATGATTAGAGAGGTCGGCACCAAGGATTCACATCAACGAAATGTTCTAAAATGTGGAGAGAAGGTAGGCAGCTCTAAGCTTTTTTGAAAGAATTAGAGAGCTCAAGGAACTGTAACAGCCGTTCGTAAAATGTGTTGTTTGCGGCCCGTTGGCGAACTTTCGAGAGACCAAAACTACCGTAAATAATGATATGGTACGTACACTTTACATTTAGAGGTCGGCAAATGTCGTGTGTGCTACTTCAGATCTGAAATTTCCACCTCTTCAATTTCCTCCATACATTTCTCTATAACGATCGGCGGCCATTCTTAGAGAGCGGAAGGTCTGGGTCGAGTCTGGGCGTCCGCCATTTTGTCTTAAATTTCTGGTAATGTTATCCCCTAGATCAAGACTACGTCGGTAAAAACGATTGGAAGGAGGGCAGGTATACTCACAAGATATTCCGTGCGAGGCGTCAAAACCTAAGGTTCCATTGCGCTTGTTTCCAGTTATTGAAATATAATGTTTGGTTTTAAATTTTCCTTCCCCCTGTTAGAAAAAGGGAATCGCGCAGGATCTCCTGATAAATAAGCCTCCCCCGCAGACGTTCTCACGGGTTCGTCACGAGTCTGTTCCTGCCCTAAGAACATCTGAGGGAGAGGTTCCTGATGAATACTACGACTTCCAGTTTGGTACAACGTGACGGGTCACTGAAATAAACCCGAAGGATACCAAATCGAAAGCAGGATTATCTTTTTCAGATGATCAACGTTCGATTCAAATCAACTAGGTGATTTCCCTAGGTTAGTAGATTTAAAATCACACAAAGAACATTAAAATCAAACGTAGGATATCAACTAATATTCGACCACCCGTTAAACCTTATCTAATAAAGAGATTACTTCAGTTGGAGAGATCAGAAAATAACAAGTCAGTGTGTTAATTATAAAAACCTATGATCGCGGTTTACTTACAGTGGATACAGTCTTTTTCATCTGACTTGTCATTACATTCGTCTATTTTATTACACCTGTCATTTAGGGACCTTATTTCATCCCCACTATCACAGAGAAACAACTCTCCAGAAATGTGCGTTACATCTTGTATTCCTGGAACGGTAAAAATATATTTTTAAAAGGGTCATTTCCACTTTTTCCCTCCCACGTTCATGACATGCATGATGTCGGTAGCGCGAGGCAGGCGTTCGAAAAGGAAGGCCGAAAAAGGGATTTTAGGCATGAGGGAAGCGCGAGGGGCGCACGAGGAAGCAGGGCCATTGAAAATACATCTTTGTCTTAATCTTAACGTGCGATTTTGATGCTCAGTGACGCGCTCCCAGGCTCTGCTTCGGTTTTAAAAATCTTATCGTACTTTAATGCAACAGTTTGCCGGTAAGAGCACGTAAACAAGGAACAAACCTTTGAAAGCGCCAGTGCAGTGGATCTTATCGGCTTCTAAGTAACATCCAGGCCTCACTCTTTCTCCCGAGAAACAGAAGAAGTCGACGTCATTAACACTCCAGCGATGACCATCAAATAATACCTGATTCTTCCATCTGCAAGCTTCAGAGATAAGACGTAAAGAGGGATAAACTGGTCACATCTATGATCCTAACAATCACGCTATTAGCGTCATAACTCAGACCTTATCTGAGTAAGAACTTGACCAATTACTGCGAAATCGTATAGGGAGAGAATTAACATGGCCATTAACCGTTCAAGGAAAACTTGCTTTGAAAGGGTTAATCTGAGGAAATGTGACTACTGGTTTTCTACAGTTCGCCGGATTAACAGCGTCAGTAACAGTCAAAGTAATTACCCATCTTTTAGCTTTGATGTTAAATGATTAGAATAAAAACTTTTTTGCAATAATCAACCACGTGGTAAAAATAGCTATGCGGATGTACAAACTTCTTTGACAAGAAAAGCCATGAATTAGCAATTTAAATTTATTGACGTATACTTTTTGTTTTCATTCTTTATAGAGGTCTAGACTGAACTGTTCTGATCACTGATGTAATAAGATTGAAAACTTAACCCTTCATTAAGTCAGTCATTGTAGAGAACTTCACAGATGAATTTCAAACCGGTTCTTTAACCAAAATTCTCTGAGTTCAAAATAGGCTCAGCAATGTACTTGCCTTTACAAATTCCTCTGTTTGTTTTTACAAATGCTACCACATTACATTGCGGTTGAGTACAGTTTTGGACGAGTCCATCACTAGATGTCAAGAAGGTCACGTGTTGTTCACATGATATGAATCCATTGTTGCACCTGCACGTGATACAGTCGCCAACAGACCATTGGGCTCCTTCAAAGTACGTGTTGGCGTTCTCATCTTGACAAGAGACATCTAAAACGCAAAATATCCAAACAAAGACGATAAAATGCTCGCATGAAGCGAGGCTCCGAAAAAGTAGATTCTTAACCATCTAAAGACTTCCGCTTAGCTTAGAAAAAACGACTCAAGATCCTAAAATGAAGTTTGCTGATTGTTACTTCCAAAATAAGGTGTTAATGATCATTCACACACTGAAATGAGTTAGGCCACCAAAGATAGACCCCTCCTAAGCAGACCCTTAGCTACCCTTACCATATACAAACTGCTAAGTTCTATGTTTTTAGAATTAATCCCAGATTCAAAACCCCTTGTGCAATGCGATTGTTCTTTCTTTGAAATTTCACTCATGAAACCTTCAAACTTACAAACGGATGAGCGGACAGTGGAACCAACGATAGATGTTCCAGGACTGGCATAACAGCTATAAAATATGGCCTCAGTTTGAATTAACGAGAATATCAATCAGCTTCTGTTAAATTTGTCCGCAAGAACCAACCAATGGGTTCGCTTAGATTTGCTGTGTGTCTAAACTTAACAAATTCCATAATGGACTACAATCAACATACTTGTTTGGCAGAAATCATGACCCAGAAGACAGTTTGGTTCGGGAGTAACACATGCACCGCCAGTTGCAACGGCGTGAAGGCCTCCGGGACACAACTGTGGCATCCCTCTCATCTGACTGGTGAGTTCAGCAAGCGCTACAAGGGAAAAAAAATTCAAGATTGAAGTACTTGTGGTTCGAGCCTTATCAAAAAAGGCCAGGTCATGCAAGTGCCCTTTTTATTTTATTTATTGCCTGTTTTTTTTCGCATTTTTAATTTTTCAGATTAAGCCATGGCAAGGAAAATTTGGTCAAAACAAATCGAAGCATCTTCAAGTGTACAGCAGTATAGTATCATGAAAGTAGGAAGGGCGTTACCTTGACATTTCTGAGCACAGCATATGGCTCCGTCGTACATATCGCACGTTGGCCCCAGCATTTTTGGACATCCCTGTATCTCACTCAGTTTCCTGAATGTAAACTTGCAGTCTTGGTATTTCCAGGTTTTACCTCTAAGAATAACACGCCCTCCCTTGGTGGTTTCAATTCCTGACGAAATCATGCATTCATGATCATTAATAAAAAAAACATTGCTTAGTAACAGGAGCCTATCAAATGGAGCCTCCATCTCCCATACAAGCCCTTGGAGTCAACCCTTTCCCGAGTAGATTTATAATTAGAACGGTTCCCAGGGGAGACTTCGCGCGCGAACGGTAGGAAGAGCCAATCACAACAACGAAATGACACTGCTATTGTACTTCATCGAACAACAGGAAATTCGGTGTTGACAGGCCAAACACAATCATAAGCTAGTGAAACGTGACTTTAGCGTTTTCATCCCTCAGAGATTTTCTTTCTTTTCTTTCTAGTGGGTAGATTATACTGTGGAGAGTTTTACACTGTGACTATGTTAATCTTCATTTTGGTTGCTTGTCTCACAGTTAATAGAGGCCATGAAGCTGGTCTGTTACATGCATAATGATTAACTACTACCTGCAGTCTGTAGTTCTGACAGGATTCGTTTTTTTTAGCCATTTTTTTAGAGCGATNCAGGAGCCTATCAAATGGAGCCTCCATCTCCCATACAAGCCCTTGGAGTCAACCCTTTCCCGAGTAGATTTATAATTAGAACGGTTCCCAGGGGAGACTTCGCGCGCGAACGGTAGGAAGAGCCAATCACAACAACGAAATGACACTGCTATTGTACTTCATCGAACAACAGGAAATTCGGTGTTGACAGGCCAAACACAATCATAAGCTAGTGAAACGTGACTTTAGCGTTTTCATCCCTCAGAGATTTTCTTTCTTTTCTTTCTAGTGGGTAGATTATACTGTGGAGAGTTTTACACTGTGACTATGTTAATCTTCATTTTGGTTGCTTGTCTCACAGTTAATAGAGGCCATGAAGCTGGTCTGTTACATGCATAATGATTAACTACTACCTGCAGTCTGTAGTTCTGACAGGATTCGTTTTTTTTAGCCATTTTTTTAGAGCGATAAGGTTCTTATTTCGGCTAAATGACTCAATATTAATCAAATTTCTAGTTGTTCAAGGCTTTTTTTTCCGAAATGCGTTTATCTGAATAAATACTTGTAGTCCTTGTGGTTGTTTTGGCCATCAGCTAGTGTGATGATTCCCTGCTATGTTTTGTAACGCCGGGCCCAGCCATTGTTTTCTCGCAAAAAAGTGATCCACAGATGCGAATTTGGAGGAAAGAATTAAGCCTAAACTTTTGCATTAACTGCTGAGAATTGTCCTGTTAGTCAGTCATAATTCTTTTGGCGCAGATACAATCCATTTTGCTTTTCTTGAGATAAGTGGGTCTTTGGACTGGAGCGCGATGTCACAAATTCCTCCGTTAGCAAATTATTGACGGTCGAGCAACTGTTGCCTTCTGTTCAACTTTTCAAGTGCCAGTTTTATCAGGCAACTCTCAAGGTGATACAAGTCAGTTGTAAAGGAAGACTGCAATTTCTCAAATTTCGGAACTGAAGCATTCCTCGTTAGTTGCTACTTAGGTCATCGCTTTTGCATGCGGTGCTTAACTGGCGAAATCCACTCCACGGTGATGACAAAAATCAAATGATCCTGGCACTTTTTCGGCGCTGATCATCGAATCGAAAAGTTCCAAATCGTCCACAGAACGCTTAATCATCGACTCTTTTCAAGGTGCATGCTTAAATGTGGGATGTAAAGCGGCAAAAAAAACAAAACAAAACAAAAACACTCGCAAAGATAACCTTTCCGTGACCCTCAGTTCGCTGCCTTTGTCCCATCGCTTCATGCTCAGTCTCAGTCGGGTAATTCATTAACTTTAATTTCATGATACCCAGATCCCAGCAGCTGTAAAATTGTAAAAATGGACGTATAGTAAAAAAGGAAAACGGTCGAAGGACGGGCTAATGAGTTCGACTTCATCCAACTTCATTTTTTTCACGGTGACATACGAGACTCACGGAAATATGACACTTTTCGCGGGAAACAAGCCGTTCTATTTATAAATCTACTCGGGAAAGGGTTGACTCAAGAAATTAATGGAGATGGAGGCTCCATTTGATGGGCTCCTGTTAGTAATTATGTTCAAATAACAAGGAATAGCTTAAACACGAATTCTACAAAAAAAAAAAAAGGCCAGCGTGAATTCTAAATGATTTGGCTTCTTAAAGTTAAATAAAGCCGATAATTTAGTGGGGTTTTTTTTTCTTTAAAAGAGGGATTCTCCGATGCATCTAATGAGCGCGTTTAGTTAATAAGTTAGCGTCCGCAATTTGTTTTAACAACTCAGTTTGATAGAAAAACACAATTTTAATAGCTGCATTAATTTATTCTGGACTATAATAATACCGCTACGTTCAGTTCGGAGATGGATGGATGAATGAACAAACGAAAGTAAGAAGGAACGAACGAACGAACGGAATTAAAGGAAGGACAGATGGACAGACGGACCGATGGATCGATGGATGGATGAATAAATGAACGAGTGAAGGAATAAAGGAAAAAAGAATTACGAAAAGAGAACGATAGAACGAATCAGTCAGTAATAAATTAAAGACCCCAGATAGACAAACTGTACCTTCGCACGTATGTTTTCTTTCTCTAATAAAGTCCACTGTGTTACAAGAAGGCTGTTCACATTTTTCAGTCAGCGGCGCATAAGCGTACATGCCTGGGAAAACTACCCTCAGTAGTCTTTTACATTTCAGTAACCCAGCTTCACATCTACACTCAATGCATTCAGTAACCTAAAACGGAGATAATTATTCATTAAATTTATCTCTTAAGTCAGGTCCGACTGTAAGTATAACAACATTTCACTTGTTTGCAATGATTTTTGTCTGGAAAACAGTAGCGCGTTCTTAAGCAAAACTACGGACTATTTTGTATATAGTCTACACTGATAAATAATTACACCAAACGTTTGGGACCACATGAAATTTCACAGACCAAATCATCATCCAGTCCAGGGCTGTCAAAGAGAAACAATTTTTAACCACATTTTTTCTGTCTTGGCATAGCTAACAAAAAGATGCTTACTGAAACAGCTGGTAACTATAATTTATTAATATTTATAACAACAGGATTTACCTTCCAAACTTCTTTGAGAATCAAAACCTGCCCCTGTTCATCCCCACAGATAACTAAGAAAAATGGAAAAATTTATAAGAAACAAACATGTTTGACTGTCTCGCAAATATCACTTGTGCAAATATAATTTCACCACCAAGGCCTGCTTTAAAAATTTTCATTCGCGAAGTTTTACATAAACGAATTCAATTCGTACGATAGTTGTTTTGAAAAGACTGGGTACTCATGCACAAAGAGTGCGAATGCAAAGAATTTTGTTCACAATTGAGTCTTTCCTTAAAAACACGCATAGAGGCAGGTCAGCAGGTTAGGGCTATACTACTAGTAGTCCCCATTTTTCCTCAGGGATAGTAGAGCGGGTGAAACGCGAGCGCGCGTGAAAACCATCCCACGTTAGACAGGGGCGTCTCGCCTTTCTCGCGTGGGGTCATTTCACGCAAATGCAACCTGTCCAAATGCAACCTTCGCTTTCTACTACTATTTGTGGGACTGTTAGAATTCCAGGTACTATAATACTCACCATCCTGGCAATCAGCCTCGTCAGACCCATCTAAACACTCGTTGTTTCCATTACAAACATGTTCTTTCTTTATAAAGGCGCCGTTTAAGCAGTGAAATAATTCATTTGAATTCTTAAGCTGAAAAAAGACTAGAAACAAAAGACAAGTTAGATGGTAAAATTTATAAAATTTTTAACATTAAAATGTTTAGTGTAGTTTACTGACTTTGTCTTTTTCTCTCTCTTCTTTTTATCCTCAAGTAGTTTGAAAATTAAACAGCCATAGCTTTCGCTCTATTTACATCCGTCGCTTATCGTGTACACTCAAGAACCATCATTAATTATACAAAAGAGTAAATGTTCAGTTTTTTGAGGAACTTTGTATTCCTGTATAAAGCTATTTTGAGAAAGTGTACGCGACAATCCCGAAAGGTATTTTGGGTGGTTTTGAGTGCACTGTTTTTCAGAGAGATTTGAATGAATGACACGAGAGGCTGGTCGTATGTTTGCGAGTGCTAAAGGAAAGCAACAAAAGTAGGTTCGACAGCTACAGTGTCAGAAACAGTGTATTGATCGTATCCCATATTACCTTTCGGGATTGTCGCGTGTACCTTTTTTTCCGACAACCTTTCTCGAAATAGCTGTCAATGTCACATAATATAAGTTAAAGAGCAACAATAGAAGAATTAAATCTACATGCACATTTAATTCTATTCATTGCCAATGAAACAAACCTCTGCAATTGCTAACAGTTCCCTGTCCAGAGGGTCTAATATCAACATTTGGCCGAAGACAGGGCAAGCAAATTCCAGCTGTTGTCATCCGGAACAAGCCATATTCAACAGAGACATCATACTTTACGCAGCTGATAACACCGTCCGTGCATGAGCAATTAAAGCAAGGTCCTGGGAACCAATTAATGCCATGCTCCCTGACAAGACCATTTTCATCAGTGCAAGCCGGTCGAGAAAGATTGGTGCAGTGAATTTGTTCGTCAGTACAGGCACATTTAGTGAGACTGCTGCTAAGCCATTCCTGCCCATTTCCAAAGGCATTACCAAGACTATCCCAGCAACCACTTCGAGTATTTTTACACTCGACTTTAAAGCCAGGCCAACATGTGCAGGTAATAAGAGGGTTTGGGTTCCAAATCTGATGAACTTCGTAAACATTACCATGTTTGTCTTTACAACCTGAAAACAAATATTTATTTATGTCATTTTTGCGCGCACTTCGCAATGGATACCTTTAACAAGCTCCTAGATCAATTTTTCCAGAGAAGATTTTAATGACATTCAGTGTCTTATTGTTAGGAGGATGAAAGAGCACGAAAAAAAAGGCGAGCGTTTTTAACTTGCGTCGGGAACACCTGCTAAATCATTCAAATGTATGTGTATAAGCACATTTTTTATAGAGGGCCACAAGTTTACTAGTTTCTGTAACTATTCCTTGCTACCCTCTTTAAATAAAGTGTATTAGAAGTAGAAATGGTGGGTTCCGGCCAAGAATTCAAGAATGTTAAAATTGAAACCGCAAAGTCAGTTGCTTTCTTATCAGCTGTTAATGCTCATTGGACTAAATTCTGACGTCTGTTGCTTGGGCATGGTCAAAATAATCACTTAAAGTCTTCTTTTACGCTCTGTTTACCTGTTTTTCCGACTCCACAGTATCGCAAACTGCAAAACGGCTGAGATTCAGGAAATTCACCAAATTTGTACACCATGAAATCACCACAATTCCTGACTCTAACTTCGCTGTACCAGAAGCAGCAGTCATCATTGTTCGTAAAGCAAACCATACGTTCCACCACCCCTTCTTCCACAGTAGGATGTTTGCCGTTTAGCCAACCAGGAGAGAGTGTGCCGCAGTGCAGTTTGGGAACACAGTGTGTTGGCATGACAGCCCCTGCTGGGCCGGTAAATCTGTACCATGTTCGTGGTAGATTAGCGTCACACTTCATTGTGTTGTAACTGAAGTAGTCCGCGGCTCTATCGCGTCCTTCTAGGGACTGGTAGCTAGAACATTCATCACCGCTATTTCCTGAAAGTAAAACGTTGTTCAAGCATTTTTACTTGATTATGGTACGATAGCTTAAGCTACCCATCATGGCGTACTTCCGGCTAAAAAATATAGATTAGACCTTTGAAATCCAGATTTTGAATCTCAAGGATTTTGTGTTTTAACTGATTGAATGAAATCCACTGCCAAATCGGTCTGCCCTGGAGTTAAAGAATCGAAATCTGGATGTCGTAATCCAAAGCATTACATTCTATACGATTACACCAGGAAAACATATTTTGTTTAAGAATTATCATAGAAGAAAACATTTAGTCAGCCTTTTCAGTACCTGAAGATTTGTTGATGGCCTTTTCAACACTGTATAAAACTCCTACAAGCAAAGACAATAACGCTGAAAATTAGTAAACGGTCTTGAAAGACAGTTTATCTTATCAGGCTAGGAAATGGTTAAAATTTTTCTTATCTCTTTGCTTCAAAACTCCAATCTTTGCCCCTATATTCTTGCCAAAATGAAAAACTCTACCGAAACTTGCTTCTTTTAATTTATAGTCTTGAATTGTTTTGCTTATCAAATTCTTATGCAAACTGAGTTTAATTTTTCGATCGATCAGATTAAAGCTTGAAGTAAGTCGATTATGTTGCTATTTTTCCCCGTAAGTTTTGAATCGCCAGGTCTACGCCAGTTATTAAAGTTATTTAGTTATTAAATTTAGTTATTAAAGTTATTTAGCACATGTTTTCGCGTATTTATGGTGACAAATAACTTAAATTTTCGAAGGATATTAAAAAACTTTTTGATCTAAAAGGAAGATGTAAGTTAGTCCAAATAGTATTTGCAGTACCTTCGATGCCAGCTCCACACATGCGAAAACTGACGGAGAATGAAGGCATTGAATCCAGCTTGTACACATAGAATGAGCTGCAGTTTCTTACACGCATGCTCACAGAATACATGCAGCATTGCTGTTTCTGAGAAAAGCAAGCAAACCGTCTGACCACACCCTCGACGACACTTGGATGTCTTCCCAGCATCCATCCTGGTACTGAGGTACCACAATGATTGGACGCAACACATGAGGTTGCAATGAGGTCTCCGGCTGATCCGTTAAATGCAAACCAGTTTTTTAGATAAAGGTCGCTGTCTGTAGTTACGTTGTTGGAGAAAAACCTTGATCTACTCATGTCGCTCAGTGTTGTGAAGTTTACGCATTCGGCGTCTTTGGAGGCAAAAAAAAATTATCATACGTGTCATGAACATAACAGTCTCATATATAGAAGGCACTGTATCGAGTAGTTGAAGATACATCGCGAGTTCCTTAAAAATAAATTAAACAGCTATTTTTCGACAGTTTTCTTCCGTAGCTTGGTACGATTTTCAGTCCCAAGAGAAATGAACAACATGCATATGCGCCACTGGAAATATTTGGGGGCTAAAAAGTATATGGCGGAAGTATCCAAAATGCGATCACGTTTTTCTCTGTCAAACGGTCCAGAGGGTCCAATATCCATATTTGACCAACACAATATCATAGAATCTCTCTGTCTTCAGTAGGTGAATCGCACCCCTATATCTTTACCAGTTTGTCACTGTAACCCATATATTTCTTCTTTTTTTCCAGTAACCCCATGTGGAACCTATGTTTTGCTATCCTACATAATGCTAAGTCAGATATGATCTATATCTTACTATACCTGTAATAATACTGCCCCCGGCAATGATTTCTGAGGAAATAAACATGACAAAAGCCAACAGCGCCTTTGTTTGCTGTGGCATGGTTGTCAGATCACTTTACCTGTTTCAAGAAAAATAAAATGTTTCTATTATAACTTTCAATGTACGTTTTATATGGAATATGGTGCTGTTGGTGATCCTTGACGCCATCCAAAATGAAAGCAATTTTAGATTGTTTATAATTGTGAAAATGGTTGACCTGCTGCAATCAGGCGGTCCTTCTTCCCTCTTGGTTTGGAGGCTAGGGGAAAAGGACGCCTGATACTTCATTTTTTTCGCTTCCCCTGAGAAAAAAAACGCCTGATCGCAGGTTAAAAAAAGGGGAGGGGGGAAATACGCAGCGGTTTTTTTTTTCCGCTTGAAGGTTTTGAAAAAACACTTCATTGTTTCTGATCTAAATGCTCTAAACCTCATGTGAAAGTTGAAAAGTCGTATCTTATAAGACACTTAATTTTACTACTAATCCTGATTTGCAAAAGGTGTCTTCTAAGATTTAGATGAGTAGCTACCAAAGAGGTTCATATGGGTGAGGGGTTGGGAAAAAATCCACTTCCCTGCCCATATACCCAAGAGTCTTGTGTACATAATGTCAAGAATGCATCATGCAACAGACTTAAAAAATTTTCGTCTTCATGCTTCCTTAAAATAAATGCAATGGCAACCATGAAGTTCTTTTGAATCCGCTTTGTTTTATCTACCAACTCTAACATTTTTTATTTTCAGCAACAGTCAGTCGCAACGCACTTAACAATATAGGACAATTTGAAATTTGTATTTTCGGCGAAATGAAATGTACTTTCTTTGCGGGGGAAAAAACTCATCATCATGCTGCGAAATAATAAGGCTTGTAGCCCTAACCGCCCAGGGCCACAGAAACATGTATATTTCCTGAAACAAATCATCATTAAACTTGTACTTACAATTTTCTCTGGCTTTGTTAACTCCAAGAGTAAATACTAAAGACAACCTTCCAACATTTAACGTTAGCTGCAAATTTTGTACAACTTCCGCAGGCTGTTCAAAACAGGTGCAGGGGTGAACTGATTCTTCAAAATACTGTATTCTGTTGCGCAATTATTCCTTTCTACTTAGTTACAGCACAGTTTCTTGTCGAAGTGTAACTTATAATTTAGGTGTCTTCCTTTCTCACCTCAGCTAGCGAAAGAGAAGACTACTTTCTAACAAAAGAAGTTCCAGTTTGTGGTTAACAAGACGAAACACACACTGCTTTTTCGTGTGGAGGTGTTATCTGATATCAGGAAGAAAACTTCCGTCGTTCTTTAATACTTGACAATTGATATTGTTCCTGCCATCATTTTGGATGCAAAACATTTATATAGTAACTCAAGTGTTTATCTTAATCCCAAATTCTCATATAACAAAGCCTGACCGCCTATATATAAACTTAGCATTTGCCCTGCTTTGCCTGCAATTCGGCTGTCAGACAGTTGAGGAAGCAATTTTGGATGACAAACAAACCTAACCAATTAAATCATCCTGTTTCAATCATTCTTCGTATAATGATTATTTCTTAAAATAATTTGTCGGACCAAAAACAAGTGTGTAATCAATAGTTTATGTGTTGTATACGGTGAATGACGCCTTTATGAAGAAGGATATGATTTTTGGGGGGTCGTTTTTCAAGACTTTTATATTTGACAACAATAGGAGCTAATAGGGAAAGGGGAAGCTTGATTAATTTTTGATATGCTTTACACCTAGATTTTTCCGCCTTTCAAAACTGGGTTTTAACTTTTATTAAAATTAAACAACCATACAAAGTAGGCTTTATCAACTAGTCTTTTTCCTTCCCCATATAGACGAATTTTGTTTTTGTTTTCTTTCTTTCTTTGTTCTTTTTTTGTTTTGTTTTGTTTTTTTCACCAGCAAAAGTGTATAGCCATTGAAGCTTCTGCAAATTACAGTGATTTCCTAAAGGACCAAATTCAGCAGTTACATCCGGATAATATTACGTTTCTTCATACGGATTTTTTGCTATGTCAAACGACTTTCAAAATTTTGCTTCGTCTGGTAAAGTTGCTTACAAACTATATTTAATGATTAAAAATTTGTGAAAAATATTTATTTTTAACTAGTGTCAAGTGACTTCTGAATTACTTAGTCCAGACATTATGAACTATTTTAACCCTTGGAAAAAGTAATAAAAAGAAATATCGAATCACACACTGACTATCAATGAGATGGCAAACAAGTGCGGAACGAGGTGATCTTGGGACACGAGAGACGCCTTCGCAGGAAATTGGTATCATTTTAGTAACTGAAAGAGTACAATTTTTCGGATAAAAAATTGTAAAACATTATACTACACCCTCCATGAACCGGTTCTGTTTCCTCTCAAATAGTTTGCAATTCAGGCTTAAAATCAAGATTGCTATCAAATACACTAGTGGTTATCTTACAGGACAATCAATCAGATTATGAATGACATATCAGATCTCGTCGCCAAGTTATGAGCGTGTGTAATTTAATACTAGGTTATTGTACTTAAATCATGATTAGTTCTCTGAATTTAAACTTTTAATCCCATTAGGAATCAAACATATTGAATTCAGTCACCTTGTGATTTCGTTTTCTTTTAATACGTAGATTGTCGTCATATGTCAGGTCAAGGTTTATATATCTGTAAAAGGTGGCAACCTCTGAGTGTTCCCTTAATTTTGGCTGATCGGAAGCACAGGGGATTTCAATAGAAAGAGGAAGGTAAACAGGAGTCTGAATTCCTTATGTGCCACCCAGGCAAAACAGTTACTTCAAGTCTCAGATGCTAAATATTAGCCAGGCGTATTTCTTTTTCGTTTCCTTTTTTTTATCTTGCCGTCAGAAGAAGAAAGTTTTCCTGCTAAAGCGAACGGAAGAAGTTGCATAAATATCCAAGCTAGTATCCCTTCCTTCACCCTTGAATATCCACACCGGTGAAATACAATACTGAGAGAGTGTTGCTTTGCCATTTGCACGGAAAATCAAAATTTCTGTTAATTTTTCAAATGATAAAATTAAAGTTAGTTGTTGTACTGTGCTTTCATGCTACTAACATGAGAATTATTTGAGTTTAGCTACTAAACTAAGACTACGTTTTTTAATTAAAATATTATTGTTATAATGGTAGTTCAGTTGTAACAATATATACAACAATAAGGGCTGTATGTTTAGATAAACCGAGACTATTTGCCGAATTTTCACCACAGGAGCGTCCTAACAAACCAAAGCATAGTTTTCGTGGTCGTGCTCGTCTAGCTAGTCAGGTAGTAAAGGACATACGCTCTTAAGGGAACACATCAGTGAATAGCTAGGGTAATGGCTTACCCGTATATGCATAAAATTAAAATTAAAAACTTAAATTTTAATCGCAGGTTAACCATGTGTATTATAGCAGCCAAGAACCATAATGGGACCACTATGCCTCTTGATAGCAGCTTATAGCTTAATAAGACTGAAAAAAAGGTTAAATTGTACATCAATGCTCAACGTTGAATTCAAAATCTTTTTTTTTTTTGGTTGTTTTGCTGGGAAACACTCGCGGCGTAAAGACTCACCGAATAACAGTATAATTGTGACTACACACCTTTCCAGTAAAAAATGAGTGACTTGATTAATACTCCATGTACTATTCAAAGAGGTTAGTTGAGTTCTAAAACACTGAAGTCATGTCATGCGCACTTGAGACCTGTACAGTTCCCTTAGCCATGCACATAGAAACTTTGAAAATAGGCAAACACTACCCCCACCAGCGAAAACAAGAGAAAATTAATTATCATACTACTATCATGACCATTTATTTCATATTTACCTTTAAAAATACACACTTTGTTTAAGCCAATCAACTTGTGAAGATACAGATGTATTTCAGACATCTGTCTGTTATTTGTTTGAAAGGCAGGTAAAAGTCAGCTGGGGGCTTGAAATACGGTGGGGTTCTCAGCATCGAAAGGCATCGTCAGACAACGAGCTTTCTTTTATCTACGATGTAATAGCTACGGCCGACGTCCCGACACGAGACTGTCACTTAAAAAAAACACATTCATTCACATCGAGGGCGCACGAACAAAGAAAACCAAGAAAGCGCGGGGAAAAGATCAGAATTAAAGCGCCCACAGACGCGAGAATCTTCGTGTTGATCCAGGGTTCTCCCGTCATTCTAAACGTCAGTGTATGCGCGAGAACCGTGTAACTAAGAGGAAACATGGGAACACATGCCAGAGCTACAAGAACCACGAGAACCTCAAGAACATCCATACAAAAAGGCCAAGAAAACCAGAAAGCTAAGACAACAACAACACAAAAAAAAACGGGAAAACCATGCATAGTGTTGTTATAGTAACAGTCTCAGACTCAGACAGTCAGGCAACTCACTGCTCATGCTCACTCACTGCTTCCAATCTCTATGGCGACTCTGAGCTAGCTCTCCTAAAGTAATACCGGCATAAAAAAAAGTCCCTGGGGCAAAGCTAGCCAGCTTGGTAAACCAGGCAATCCC